GTCCCCCCGCCTTGTGAGAAGTTTCTAAGCACACAGAAACCCTCTTGGAAGGCTGGCGGGCTTCTGAGCAGCCCCGCCGCCTTCTGAGAAAGCCTTCCCCTTCTCCCTCCCCCCCCACGCCCGCCGCCGAGAAGACTCTGATGAAGCAGTTCTACAGGGTCTTGGACGTCAACAGCAAGATGCTGATGGTGCTTGATGGCCACAAGGATGTCCACATCTTCCTCGCGCGGTGCCTCGTCGTAACTGCGGCGGTCCACGTTGTGGCCCACCTCCTCTCCACCGTGCCGGCGCTGCGCTACGGAAGCGCCGCCGAGCTGAACGCCGTCATCGCGTGCGCGAGCAGGGACGCGAAGCTGGCGAACATGCCATCCTTCGCCTGGCTCCAGTGGCCCGCGTGCCCGCTCTCCACTGGGCAGATGGGCTGGTCCGTGCTCTTCCAGTCCACGCCTGGGGTCTCCGGGCTGGTGCTCGTCGCGCTGCTGCTGCTGCTCGGCTGGACGGGACGCGCCCGCGCCCGCCACTCGGACTTCGACCGCTTCTGGTACGCACACAACGCCGTGCTGCTGGCGTGGCCGGTGACCAGGGGGGCACTCTGCACTCAGTGACTCGATGCCTCCCTCGAGCTCGAGCTTGAGCCCGAGGCTCGAGCCCGATCCCGAGGCGGAGCCCGAGCCTCAGCGCGAGCCCGAGCCGAAGCCCGGGCCCCCTTTCCCCGCGTCGCCATGCAGCAAGCGGGTCAGGAGGGAAGCGGAACCTGCTTTCCCAACCATGGTGTGGTGTTGGGTCCTTGTTTTGAAGAGACAGCGCCCCGCGTTCCTTCCTTCCTTCCTTTCTTCCTCCTCCCCCTTCTCCCTCTTCCCATCCCTGCCTCTGCCCTGCGCTTCGTGGCCCCATGGGGAGCTACATCTAAGGCCCCAGTGGCGGTGTCCACATGCGTCTCCCGCACGCATCACACGGGTTCGTGGCCCCGTAGGGGGCTCCACTGAAGGCCCCAGTGGCGGTGTCCACATGCGTCTCCCCCACCCAGCACAGCGTTTCGTGGCTACACGGTGAGCTCCACCTATGGCCCCAGTGGCGGTGTCCACATGCGTCTCCTCCACACAGCACAGCGTTTCCCTATGGGGAGCACCACTGAAGGCCCCAGTGGCGGTGTCCACATGCGTCTCCCCCACAGCACAGCGTTTTGTGGCCCCATGGGGAGTTCCACTGAAGACCCCAGTGGCCGTGTCCGCATGCGTCTCCCCCACCAAGCACAGCGCTTCGTGGCCCCACGGGGAGCTCCACCTATGGCCACAGTGGCGGTGTCCACATGCGTCTCCCCCACGCAGCACGGCGCTTCGTGGCCCCATAGGGGAGCTCCACCTAATGCCCAGACGGCGGTGCCCACATGCGTCTCCCCCACGCAGCACAGCGTTTCGTGGCCCCTTGGGGAGCTCCACTGACGGCCCCAGTGGCAGTGTCCCCATGCGTCTCCCCCATACAGCACAGCATTTTGTGGCCCCATAAGGAGCTCCACTGAAGGCCCCAGTGGCGGTGTCCACATGAGTCCCCCCCACACAGCACAACGTTTCGTGGTCCATAGGGAGCTACACCGATGGCCCTAGTTGCGGTGTCCACATGCGTCTCCTGCACGCAGCACGGCGTTTCGTGGCCTCAAAGGGAGCCCCACCTAAGGCCCAGACGGCGGTGTCCACATGCGCCTCCCCCACCCAGCACAGCGTTTCGTGGCCCCATTGGGAGGTCCATCCAAGGCCCCAGTGGCATTGCCCGCATGCGTCTCCCCCAACCAGTACAGCGCGTCGTGGCCCCATGGGGAGCTTCACCTATGGCCCAGGTGGCGGTGTCCACATGCGTTTCTCCTACCCAGCAGAGCGCTTCGTGGTCCCATGGAGAGCTCCAACTAAGGCCCAGATGGCGGTGTCCACATGCGTCTCCCCCACACTGCACAGCGTTTCGCGGCCCCATGTGGAGCTCCACCTAAGGCCCCAGTGGCGGTGTCCACATGCGTCTCCCCCATGCAGCACAGCGTTTCGTGGCCCCATGGGGAGGGAGCTCCACCTAAGGCCCAAGTGGCGGTGTCCACATGCGTTTCCCCCACACAGCACAGCGTTTTGTGGCCCCATGCGGAGAACCACCGAAGGCCCCGGTGGCGGTGTCCACGTGCGTCTCCTCCACCCAGCACTGCGTTTCGTTGCCCCATGGGGAGCTTCACTGAAGGCCCTAGTGGCAAAGTTCTCATGTACCCCCGCTGGCAATGTTCGCATGCGTCCTCCCCCGCCCACTACAGAGTTCCGTGGCCCCTAAGACGATACCCACAACTGCGGGACTGACAAGTGCATATGGTTGGGTCCTTCGCGAGGCTAAGGTTTAGTGCTTCTGGCGCACCCCGAGCCCTCCACGGGCTCTAGGACCTTCGAAAAACGATTCAGTATGATGACATGCCTGGTGGAAGGCTCTGGGGGCTCCTCATGAGGCCCCGTTCCCTTCATGCCAACCATGCACGGACAAAGGTGAGAGAAGGCGTAGGATGGCCGTGATGATGGCGATTGGGATGGTGCGTTTCATTATTGCGGTAATGAAGTTGGGGTGGCGACGGTGTTGACGATGAGGCCGAGGAGGGAAATGAGGAGCAGGGGCATGAACATCATGTTGAGGTGGGAGAAGGAGGAGGAGGAGGAGGAGGAGGAGGAGGAGGAATAAGGATAATAAGACTAAGAAACATGATAATACCAAGCATAATAATAACACTAATACGAAGAATACTGATAGGAATAATAATAATAATATTAAGACGAATAAGACTAATACTAAGAATGCGCATCAGAAGACGAATAATAATATTGTTAGTAATAATATCAATAATGAGGCGAATAGTCCCAATAAGAATAATACTAAGAATAATACTAAGAACACACATATGAATAATAAAACTAATATGAATAATAATACTAATACTAAGAATAAGAATAATAATGCGAATCCGAAAAATAAGAATAATACTACTAATAATATGGATAATCCTAATCATACTAAGACTCATAATAATACAACTAATAATCAGAGGAGGAGGAGGAAGCGGAGGAGGAGGAGGGGGAGAAGGAGGAGGAGGAGGAGGCGGCGGCAGCAGCAGCGGCGGGGCGGTGGGAGGAGAGGAGGTGGTGGAGGAAGAGAAATGGAAAGGCCGGAGGAGGAGGAGGAGGAGGAGGAGGAGGCGGTGGGCGGCGGCGCGGAGGAGGAGGGAGGAGGAGGAGGAGAGGAGGAGGAGGAGGAGGAGGAGGGAGGAGGATGAGGAGTGTCAGCAGCGGGAGGGGGGAGGGCACCAGGAGGGCGAGGGAAGGGAGGCCTGGACGGGCTGCCACAGCGAGGGTCCCCACAGGTGACCATGTTTGTCCACGGCTCGAACCAGTGGATCGGGGTGGGCTTCCCGCTCGTCGCGTTCACCGCCACGCTGCCCATCGGCCTGTACCTGGTGGACAGGCGTGGGGGCCTACCCTACCCCATCTCCCCCTCCCTGCCCCCTCTCCTCCTCCTCCTCCTCCTCCTCCTCCTCCTCCTCCTCCTCCTCCTCCTTCCGACAACAGGGTCGGGCGTCTGCTGCGCTTCTACGTGTTCGGCGGGGCGGTGGGGATCGCTCACGCCGTGATCCGGCCCGGCAAAGGTGGAGGCCTGGACGGGGCGGCGGGCGAGGAGGGCGAGCACGAGAAAGAGGGAGTAGTACGAGAGATGAGGACGAGGGAGCAGGGAGGAGAATGAGGAGGAGCAGGAGCAGGAGCAGGAGGTTGAGGAAGAGGAGGAGGAAGAGTTTTTCCTGCGTGCATGTCGAACTTGGCTTAAAGACGCTGAAGGTGCTCCTTCCACCGAGGAACCGAAGAGCGGCCTTACTGCTGGCGTACGGAAGGCCTACAGAGGCCAGAGGGACTTCTCACACCTACGGTAGCAGCCCAACAAGTGCATACATTCTACAGTCGACCCACAGAGTAAGGATAGGCATCCTTCCCAAGGGTACCCTTGCATCCTTGCTTCCTGGGTCCATCCTTGGACACTTTCGTGGGCCGCGCCCCGCTCGAAACGCTTCGAAATGGGCGTCCAAGGGCCTTGCATCCTTATCGCGCATCCTTACTCTGCGGGTTGACTGTAGCCATCCTTCTTCTCTTGCACTTCACATCTGATTATGGGAGACGGAGAAGGTGCCTCCTCCACCGAGGAGCCGACGAGCGGGCCTCCTTCTGCTGGCACACGGGAGGCCTGCACAGGCCAGAGGGGCGTTTTTTCCACAGTCGGGCGGAGTTCAGCAATGCACAGGTGTCTGTTGCACAGCAACGCTTCTCTGTACTTCTCCTCTTCGATGTGTGACCAACATTTCCCCTCACCGAGGGTAGCAGCCCAACAGGTGCATGCCTCTAGCCTTTTTCTCTTTCTCTAGCCTCCCGCTTTTCGTGCCCTTCACACCCGATTAAGAGACGGAGATGGTGCCTCCTCCACCGAGGAGCCGACGAGCGGACCTTCCTGCTGGCACGCGGGAGGCCTACACAGTCGGGCGGAGTTCAGCTTGCACGGGTGTCTGCTGCACAGCATGAAGTCGGGCCTGTCCCTCTACAGGGGGCCTGTTCAAACATAGTCAAAAATAGTCTGGGGACTATGTTTGAAGTTTTTGTTCGTTTTATTCTTTATTGTTTCGTCGAACATTCCCCTGCAGGGGGACACGCCCGACTTAAGCATAGCAAACCATATCTATACGTCTTCTCCTCTTCGATGTGTGACCTGCCTTCCCCCTCACCGAGGGTAGCAGCCCAACAGGTGCATGCCTCCTCCAGCCTTCTCTCTTGTCCTTCCTGCTCGAGGGCGGAAGCCCAGGAACTGCATACTAGCTCTGCCCGCTCCTCAGCAGGACGATGGCGACAGCACTCAAAAGGCGTGCCTGCCAGGCCAGGCTCACGTGCACTACAGCAGCGTGTCTTTCAACACGTGTCTTACCTTTGAAGTTGAGGCGAGCAGCCCAATACTTGCACATCGCTTGTACTGTGCTTATTTCCTCATCTTGGCTATACAGCCTATGCAACCCATGGACTTGGGGAGAAGATGGGTTACACAGGTTGGGGGGGATGGACATACACTACCAGGCTAGCAGCCCAAACATTGCACTGTCAGACTCACTTTCAATGCTGAGCCGCGACGACACTCACCATGAGGATTCAGTTTCTCAGTTATCGTGTTTACCTGATCCTGGTGTCGTGAACCTGCTAAAGTGAGTGTTCTCCTGCGCCCGCGCTCCCACATTTTCCCCGCCGGCCGCCAAGGTTTTCTGGCCCGTGTCGTTCTTGCATTTTTCTGACACCTAAAACGCTACAGTTTGTTGCTTATATTGGTCTAGCGTTAGAAAGGAGGAGGACGGAAAGGAGGAGGAGGAGAAGGAGGAAAAGAAGGAAGGGGAGGAAGACACGCTATGTGCGCTCGCGTCATATCTGACGTCCTACCCCTCCCTCCCATCCCTTACCATGGCGCTGATTTTCTCTATCCGCGGACGCGTGTCGTACCGGACCTGTGGCTCCGCGCGCGCGTGCGTAGTGGGTGGTGGTGCGCGTGCGTGCGTGCGTGTGTGCGTGGTGGTTGTGGTTGTGGTGGTGGTTGGTGGTGGTGGTGGTGGTGGTGGTGGTGGTGGTGTGGTGGTGGTGGTGGTGTGTGTGTGTGTGTGTGTGCGTGTGTGCGCGTGTGCTGTGGTGTGACGTGGTGTGGCGTCTTCGTGGTTTGGTGGTGGGCCAGATGCGTGCGTGCGTGATGGCGGTGGTGGTGTGGCGGTGGTGGTGGTGTGTGTGTGTGTGCGTGTGTGTGTGTGTATGTGCGTGTGTATGTGTGTGTGTGTGCGTGCGTGTGTGTCTGTGTGCGCGCGCGTGTGATGTGGTGTGACGCGGTGTAGCGTGGTGGTGGTGGGTGGGGTAGTGGGGTGGTGGTGGCGGTGCGCGTGCGTGCGTGCGTGCGTGCGTTGGTGGGTGGAAGTGGCGGTGGGCGGGGCGGGGCGCGGTGCGGTGGTGGCGGGCGGATGGGCGCGCGAGAAAGAGGCCCGCGCTGGGGCGAGAACGCCATCCTGAACGACGGGGGCAAAACACCGATCCGAAAATGAGAGCCACGCTGCAGCGGGAGCACGATTCGGAACGAGCGGGGCCCGAAAATGAGGCCGGCCCTTCAGCGAGAGCAGCATTTTGAAAAAAATGCAGGCGAAAACCCAACTCGCGGGAATCCTGTGTGCAAAAAAGCAGGACGCGTGGTGGGGGCGAACACTCCCAGCACGTCATCAGGGGAAGAGGGAGAGTAGTATTCATATTGAGTAACTGTGGAGGGAGGGGCCATGAGGACGGGTAGGAGGGTGGGGATGAGGATGCGGAGGAGGGTGGTTGACGAGGGAGGAGAGGGCATGTGGGAGGAGGAGGAGGAAGAGGATGAGGAGGAAGAGGAGGAGGAGGAGGAAGAGGAGGATGACGACCACGAAGAGAACAGAGACGGAGGATGACCCCCGCCGTCTCCATCTTCGTCCTCCTCCCTCCTCCGCATTCCTCCGCATCCTGCTGCTCATGTTGTTTCTCGTCCTTCTCTTGTTTGAGCATTCCAATGCAGGGCGCCATCATAGAAAGGGGTCCTGTGGCCTACACCAAGGACCAGTTCGGCATCCTGTCGTGTTTGGATGGCCCCGTGGCCTTTTGGAGCGCCCCAGGGGCCCGAGAACGGTGACACGTTGCCGGGCCTTTTGCGGTCGGACCGGTTTGTATGATCGAGGTTTTTTTCGGGGAGGTTATCTCGATGTTCTTCGTATTTGTCCGATGCTCCTGTGCATCCTTGGGAAGGGTACCCTCGGTGCTCTGATGGTTTGGGGTGCTTTTGCTTGCGTAGGGTCTCATGCTCTTGAAGGGTGGTCTTCTGTCCCAGGTCCGGCCGTAGCCCTCCTTCTCTCTCCTCGGTTGAGGCCCGAGCGGGGCGCTGACCAACCTGGCGATCACGAAGCCGACGGGCCTTTGGACCTTCGCGCCAGGTATGTACGCGTTCGTCAACATGCCCGACTATGCCCCGAACCAGTGGCACCCCTTTACCATTTGCTCTGGCAAGTACGACGAGCACGTCGAGTTCATCATCGCCGGCGTGGGCGACTGGACACAGGAGCTGGCCTCCAGGTGCCTCGATGCCCAGGAGCCAGATTTCCTGCTGTGTCGTTCTCGGGGGCACGCATCAGAGGAGGGAAAGATACCGAATGCCGCTTCCCCTATCGTGGTGTGCCTTCGTCACGGCTGGATTTGCCGCGCAATCCTGGTTGGCACTCACTCGGGAGAGGTCCGTGGAGTAGCGGTATCGATATGTTGTTGCTCCCCCGATGCGAGCGCGGCCGCACGCAGAAACGTACGCGGCGCCAGGGGCCCTCGAGGTTCGCTTGCCCCCGACGCGCGCAAGCGCTTGTCCGCGCGCACGGGCTCGCGCAGGCACTCGGGTATGTCCATACTAGCACCGGTACGGCACACATCAGGAGGGACAAAAACACACAGACACAATTAATCGTCGATTCCCAGGAAAATATAGAAAATATGGGAAGTGGGGGGGAAACCCAGAAAATATGGGAAAATATAGGAGAATCCTTTTATTTGTGTGTATCGATGTGTGTGCCCCAGGGCCCCTTCACAAACGTTTATTCGCACATTTTCTTGATAGGACAGTTTGGGATGAGCACCTCGAGCACGAGAGCACCCGCCAGCAAGGTTGCATACGCACACCTCATCGGGTCGACGGGAAGCGTGTGCCAATCCGGCTAGTGGCGACGGCGAATGTGCAGTACAGAGCAGCAGCTGAGGAAGGCACGCACTCCGGAGCAGACAACAGAGCAGATCGCGGCTCAGCAGCCCAGTCAGCGCAGAGCACGCATGTGGCCAGCCCAGCAGAAGCTTGCAGCCGATGCCGCAGGAAGCGCGCGGCAGCAATCCGGCGGCGGTCTGACGGTGGCCGGCTGGTAGAGCGCGGGGTCTTACAGTGCCGTGGCACGAGCACCGAGCGTTATGGCGTCAACATCCCAGAGCGGATTTCGTTCGGAAAACAAACGCATGGGCCAGGAGTGTCCTTTAGAATTCCGTTCGGATTTCGAAGTGAGTTTCGTGCGGATCTGTTGGGGCCAGGAATGAAGTTAACAAACAATCCATGTGAAGTTCACTTCGTTTTCCGCTCGCCGCTTGGCGGTTTTGTAGTGACAGAAATCCAACCAAAAATCCGCTGCAGCACATCTGCAAGATCGGTGCAGAGACGAGTGCGGCGCGCGTGCACACAAACATCACCTAAGGCGCCTGGCGGGCGCCCCTGGCGTCGTCCCGAGCGCGCGAAGGTGGCGCTGCGGAAGGGGTGCGGGGAAACGGTTTAGGCGCTGGCCAAAGACACCCGTGCGGCCATCCGGAAGATTATGTCGTCAGTGGTGGTGCTCTAGGCGGGACGATCGAAATGTGTACGAGTGGAACGGGTACAGAGAAGATCTATAGCAGTTTTTGCTCAGATTGAACAGGACTCGTTGTAGGTGCCACCGCGGGCGTTGTCCAATGGAGACAGAAGGCCACCTGCCCAACAGCGGCCTCTGTCGGTTTGGGACACTATTAGTTGTGGGGCATTGTGCGCAGTTCTTCTGTACCCATCTCGGGCTTCCACATTTCGAAGGCTTGCCCAGGGGGGGAGTGAGAAGGAGAAGGCCTTCTCAGAAGGCTCCGAAGTTTTCTAAGTCTTCCGCGAAGACACAGAGAAGTTCTCAGAAGGCCGGAGGGCTTCTGAGAAGTCCCGCCGCCTTCTGAGAAGGCCTTCGCCCTCTCACTTCCCCCCCTTGCTCGCCGCCGAAAATCCATCCCCCGGCATTGGGCAGGTTGAGGCCCCCAGAGGTCTCAAAGCCAGGTCTCTGCAGCGGAAGCTTGCGGAGGCCTCCAGAGCCCTCAGGGGCCCCCGCAGAGGGGGCCCGGCCCACTGCATCCGACGGTCCGGATCATCCCAGGACCTCGACGTCTCGCCGCTCCTCCTGCTCCTCGATTTAACTCGGGCATTTGCCTTTATACAGGAGGTGTATTCAAGAATAGTCATCAAAATAGTACGGCTCCTTGTGCCCATTTTCGAATATTTGTTGATTATGTTTGATTATCATCTTCCTCCAAAATCCGCCTGTCGGAGGACATGCCCGTTTTAACCTTACGTCGGGCACGTCCCTCTACAGGAGGAATATTCAAAAATAGTCAAAACAAATGTTTATTGGTTTTATATATGTCTCCCAAAATCCATCTGTAGGAGGACATGCCCGAATACTCAAAGATAGGACAAATATAGTCCAGGGACAATGTGTTGGCTCTGTTTGCATATTGTTTTGACTATGTTTTACTGTTCGCCCAAATCCGCCTGTAGGGGGACATGCCCGACCTAAGCCTAGATTCGAAGAAGAAAAAACGCCATACACATAAACTTTTGGCGCTCCGCGCGGACTTCTTGGATCCGCTCTGGCCCCCCCCCACCTGGCGCATCCGCGCGGAGAGCCAACAGTATGTGTATGTCGTCTGTTCTTCTTCGAGGGAGGCTTCTCAGGTGCAAGGCGGGCATGTCCATCTACAGGAGAGGAATAATCACAAACAGTCAGAAAATAGTCTGGGGTCGATTTCTCGATAATTGTGTTTGAAGATTTTGGAATCTGTTTTGACAATGCTCTATTTTTCGAGTGGATGGGGTCGGAGGATCGCGCCGCGTCGCCGATAAATCGGCGATGCGGCTCGATGTGGAGCCCGATTTGCTCCACGCTAACGTCCCAGGTGCATCGCGGACGTCTACAATGCATTGGCGTGCATCGCTGATGCACTGGCGATGCGGCGCGATCTTCCGACCCTAACTACTCGGGGCCCCCCTGGATGGCCCCTATCAGGAGCAGGGGGGGGGCCTCGCCCATGCTGCATTCGAAGCCCGCACGCACTCTTAGAAAAGCGGCCTTCCCCGCGCCAGCCCTTTGCGCGTGTTG